AGAATATGCCTGTGCCAACAGGTTCTTTCAGTATATTCAGGTAGGCAGCTGACGTAATTTTTCGAGGAACATACCGTTGCTAAACCTAGACCTGACCAACTGAAGCAACCCCGGATCACAACACTTAGAACTTAAACCAATAGAAGGCTCTTAAATATTTGCTTAGCTAAGTCCAGGTGGTGACTTTTTTTTTGGGCCAGGTAGATCTTACCCCCAAAGAATACTCTGATTGTATTGGGCCCTCCTAGCCTGTCTAGAGTAGACTAGAGTTCCATAGCTGCCCTAAAGCAGTTATCAAACCACCAATAGGGATTGATTAACTGACATCCACACTGTTGAACTTTTGCTTTCAGAAATGTATTCAGCAAGCTTCCAGCAGGTTCCCTCAAAGATTTATACCCTCTATCAGCAAGCACCACTAGAAATAAATCTCCTAGTGGTTAGTCAGGTCAAAAATATGCATAACTCAGCATTCTTGTATCTTCTTGCTCTATTGCCAGGGATACACCCCAGCAGCATGCAAAAGCAAACAATAACACTGAGTTTAGGAAAACCTGTAGAAAGCTGAATAGTCAATCCATGTTAGGCTAATTACAGCCCAGCAAAGCTAATTTGAAGAATCACTCCTTCTTAGGGCAGAGTATCTACATATACAAGAAATACAAGCCACACATGAGTGCAATGACTAAAAACTGATGCGCTGGACAGCATAGCATTAACTCTTGATGTGCAGGTTCAGGTCGGCATGTAGCCACATGCAGCCACTTCCAATCTAATTGGGGTGTACAGATGGATGGATGCAATTTCAGGCTGCACCTGTCCCTCCTGGGGAACGCGTCTCTGCACAGGCATATAGATATGCATGCCTGTGTAAATGAGGCCTTAGAGAAACTTCCTTTCATTACCCCACCTTTAGAGGGATTGGATGACTTCCTTAATTAAAGACAACTTAGCCTTAGAGTTGACAAGACCTGCCTTGGTCACCAGTGGTTTTCCAGTTATCATAATAAAACTAGATACATGACTTTGTTATACCAGACCTCTGTAGGTGGAAATACTGTACTTAAAGAGGAACGTTAGCAATATCTTTAAAAAACAACTTACACACCTTTAGAAATGTTTAGTAATGACAAATCTACAAACACATACTTCTAGATAATGTCAGGCTTTGTATTCTTTGCATGCCTTATTTCTCTTTTCTTTCTCAGTCTTCTGGCAGTGGCCATGTTAACTAAGGGCAGATTACTAGCTCTCCATTTACTTCCTGGAACTCTGGCACATGTGACTAGGACATATGACCATGCACATCATCTCAGGGGAGGAAAATGCCTTTCCCTGAGATCTCATGAGATTACAGATGAGATTTCCCAGCAATGCTCTGCTGATGTAACCTTCCCTGGATGCAATGTTTTGGCACTTACAGTAGATCATTTGTGAAGGAACTGGACCAGGAAGTAGATGAACTCTATTTGTAAGTAAATGAAAAACAAGTTTGTTTATCTAATGAATGTAAGATTTTAAATCAGCATGCAGAGCTGCATGCTGTTGTTTTTTTTAGAAATGGGGGTAAAGGTCAACTTTAACTTATATTTATTTGTCAACAGCCAAGTAACAGATTCCTACCCTGCACAGACATCTAACAACTAACTATTACAGTTGGTCCAATCTGCTATAATTCTCCCTTGAGGAATCTCACAAGTCCCATTAAACCTTATCCTTATGATATCTCACAAATGCATCAGGAGACTTCAAAATCCATACCAATATAGGAGTGGACATTTTATAGCATATATATTATAATATAAATTGCTACTGGACTATTGATAAAAACTCTACTTCTTTACACATATAACACCAAAAAATACATGATGCAGGACTATGCTTTATTTATGCAACTCAACCCTTTGAAAGCAGCCAAAAAAAGCCAAGAATTGGAACATGTTGTGGGCAAAATTAGTACTTACTATGCAACTTAGCTTTGGGATTTGACAAAGCAATCACTTATTCATAATGTTTCAATCCCAAATAACTTAAGAACAATATGAAAAGAATAGCAACCTACTTGCTTTCTATGTTGGCTGCCATCAACATTCTACTGTTAATGTCTCCATCAGGATAACCAACAAATGAATAATGCATTAGTGGAATACTATCAATCTCTGTACTCCTTCGTAGTAAGGTATTTTACAGAGAACCTGACAATCTTTCTTGAGGTAATTACTCTTCCATAACTCATATGAGGGCACCAGAGCTTTTCATTAGCCGGAGGCACTCTGAAAAAGAAAACTGCAAGAGCTAGTCTAGCAAACTAGAAAAACTCCAGCAGTGAACAACCAACCAGCCGAACTATATTTACTGCAATATAACCCTTTTCTGGGATCACCTGTCCTCCAGTGATTCAATGTTCCTGTGCTCCTGTCCATGCTAGCCTTTGGACATAAAGGTACACTTAACGCAGAAGCTAAGCCTTAAAAATGCATTCACATAGCTTAACTATTAACAAAAATGTATCTTGTTTGTGTATCACTCAGTTGTAGATCCTCAAATCATCTCTGAATTGGTGCTGACACTGTCCTTCCTTCTGGAGGCTGGCTACTTTTGTTCCCCATGGTCCCTGTGTGTGTTGTAAAGTAGTCACCGCTCCAAGATCATTCCCATTATGGACTACAATTTCATGTTTAGTTTACTAATTTGTATTGAAAGTGTAGCCCATCTTGAGAGTTAGCTCAGAGATTCCAAAATGAAGGACAGTGTCAGCACCAATTCAGAGATGTTCTACAGCCAAGTGAGGCACAAAAAAGCTACATTTCTGTTAATGGGGTAATTTCATGCATTTTTAGGATTTCATTCCTGAGTTTAGTGCCACTTTAAATACTTCCTGCATTACGGACATGGAACACATATTCAGGTAGCCCTAATACTATAATTCTGGACAAAGCTAGATGTCTCTTCCATGGATTTGAAGGGGGGAAAACAGGGTCTGAGCGGAAGGAAGCTTTGCACTTACAATTTAGAAACCGAGCCATCCCTATTTAAATGTATATAACTACAAGATAGGCATTCAGTGATCGAGTGGTCTCAAGGGGCTGGTCCCTTATTTATACTCCCAATTTTGCATTCTAAATTTCAAACCTCCTCTTATGGTCAGATCTAAGGGCCAAGTCATCATGCCCAGCTTCACCATCAGTTAATAATGGACTGATCCAATTGTACATTACTCACTAGACTTATCTAACCTCAGTTTGTCTCCACAAAATGGGCCAAGTGGTTACTTCCAATTGTATACATTGTACTCAACTTTAAGCTGACTTGACTGTTCATCTAACATAGAGTTGACTAGTGATTTTTGGAAACAAATAACTACCTTACTTACCACTTTATTGGACCCACCAATACATTGTGCCCCTGAAATATGTACTGTATCTTTGGCCTACCAGATGAAGAAACTTTGCCACAATATAACAGAATATTTTTTATGAGAGACTTTATTCCCGGTCCATAAAGCCATTACTATTAAATAGATAATTTCCCCTCCCAATGTGAAATTCCAATCAACCAGATCATCCCCTATGAGAAAGTTATCTATGTGAAAAGATATGGTTCAGCTATATTTCATAAAAACTGGGACCCCTGGTGTGAACCCAACTTACTCTAGATTCAGTGTAAGTACCCCGTGGTCCATTGTATAACGCGTGTACTGATCCATTTTGTATTCTATGTAGTCTCTGTTACTTTAATACGGTATGTAAATGATTCAAGTGACACTTTCTTTGTTAAAGATTTTATTTTATTGAGTATTTTAACTCAAGAAAAGCTTTTACTGACCTCTGTACAAGTATGCCATGCAATGAATCATGTCTTCATCTTTAGAGCCAAAGGACATCTCACCGCTCCAATTCCTTAGCCACCTTCAGGACTCCCCAGGTGCTGGTCTAATAGGTGCGTCTCCACCTTGGAATGCAGCAGTATACGAACAGACCTTTGTTGGCATTTGTTGCTTTATACACTTTCATTCACTGATATACTGGATTTGCTGTGAATTTCAATAAAGTATGCAGTATTGGAATTCTCTGGATAGTGCGGTTTGTTCGTATACTGATGTCTTCATCTTGTTTCAATAAATGCTGTACTTACAATACACAGAGTTAAAAAAGTAAAAACAACCAGTGAAATAATGTGAAGGGTGAAAAATGTAGCAATTATTTATGGCAGTAACATAGTACATTTATTCATACAGCTCTATACACCAGAGATTTTTTAAAAAAAGGAACAATAACATAAATGCTTATGATAAGCTTACGATGTGTTATATACACACAATCAGAAGTCGTATCTATTTGAGAAATGCAATAAAATACCTGTTGATCATGTCAGAGCTGTCCTGTGTCCTCTGATTGTGCAATCTCAAAAACTGGACTACAGAATGACTTGATTTATGTTGTAAACACCCGAAAGGGAAGTGGTTGAGCAGTTTAGCAAAATATTCTGGGCAGGGCCGACACCACCCGGCCCACAAAAATGCTGTGTGCCCTAAGCCCATATCAATGTAAGGAAGGGGGATCCACAGTGACCACCAATTTAAAGGTGATTCTACACTGCCCACCAATGTAAGAGGGGACTCTACAATCATCATCAATGTATGGGGGGATTCTACACTGACCACAAGTGTAAGGAGGTATTCTACAGATCACCAATGAAAGGGGGATTCTACAATGTAAGGGAGACCATACATTAAAAATGATGTACTCAGCGCCGAAACTAGGGGGGGGGGTCGTGCCGCCAGCATGTCCAGTACAGATCCAGTGTGGAAACACGATGGCGCCGCGGCATCAGCTCTCCTCTCTCGGCTGCTCAGACATTTTGGTGTCACCTCTGCAATGGTGTCACCCCGCACACACAGAGGGGAGATGGAGGTCTCGGACAGGCTGTATGTGATGGATGGACCGAGTACACCCACACCCCGATCTCCACCACTGACCACGCTACAAGTAAACACGTACACCACGTGACCAGCGCGCTGTCAACTCTCCTGCTGACGTCAGCAGAACGTAGAGCTCGGAGGTTCCTCATGCATGGAGCTACGGACATTTCTGGAGACCGAAAGGAACACGGAGCCCCGCCGTAGCGCTTTTTTTGTCAGTTGTCATCACCCGCGTTTGTAAACATTCTGGGCACGTGACCCTGAAGTCCAGTCTCGGATCTCGCGAGGTTACACTCTGTGCGGTGAGTAGTGCAACTCCAGCCATTTTCATAGCTCCATGCCGGTGTACGGCGCAGCTGCCGGGGGACCGGAGAAGAGCGGAAGTGTCAAAGAGGCGGAAACGTCGAGTCACAGGCTCGGAGGAGGTATGTGTAATATAGGCAGCGGATCTATGATAACAGCTGCTTACTGCTCTATGTGTGTCCATTACATGCAATAGACGTGTGTGTGTACCCTATATGACCATATGTATGTGTGTCTATTACATGGAATAGACCTGTATGTATGTGTCAGTGTGTATTCTGTATGATCATATGTATCTGTGTCTATTACATGGAATAGACCTGTATGTATGTGTCAGTTTGTCCCCTGTATGATCATATGTATGTGTCCATCACATGTTATAGACCTGTGTGCATGTGTCAGTGTGTGTTATGTATGATCATATGTATGTGTTGAAGAGGTCAGCCATATGTCAATCATCTTGTCTGCTTTTGCTATTGACTTCATTGCCTGCCATCATGCAGCTGTATACATGGAGGAGGTTGTAAACATTCCATTAGGAAGCAGCAAGATGGAGGATGTTGTGTACATCTTCTGGGCATTGGTGATAATATAGGATGGCGGATAGGAGTGAATCTATTATTATCTTGTTCCTGCAGCCACTTGTGTGTAAAGAGCCCATGGAGGATCGGTATACAGAAATACTTATTGATTGCTCTGTGTGCGGATGGAGTACTATTATATTTATTGCAGGTATTTATAATGCTGACATTGACGCAGTGCCTTACATTCTGTACATTCATGTCAGTCCATTCCCCCCCGAGAAAATCTGGCCATACATTTTTATATGTCTGCGGGCTGAACCAGAGAAGTGCTGGCTATTGTATTCAAGCAGAAGTTTGGGTGAGGTGATTACCACAGTGATTATCAGATCAGAGGTAAAAAGTCTTACCAGGGCCCAGATAGTCCGAGTGATTATCAGATCAGAGGTAAAAAGTCTTACCAGGGCCCAGATAGTCCGAGTGATTATCAGATCAGAGGTAAAAAGTCTTACCAGGGCCCAGATAGTCCGAGTGATTATCAGATCAGAGGTAAAAAGTCTTACCAGGGCACAGATAGTCCGAGTAATTATCAGATCTGTCGCTCTGATGAAGGATCCCTGTGTGGACCGAAACGTTAGCACCGTATGACAGTATGTGACATTGGGTATTGAATAAACATATCAATACTTTAAAAACCCTTATTATTATAATATAATCTAACACATATTCCAGGGACGTGAAGAATCTAAAATGGTGAAAGGGTATAATGATGAAAAGAGAATCCATTTCTCTGAAAACAGTTCATCCCCCTCCCTATACTTTTATTTAATTCAGAACCCCAACAGCGGCAGATATTTAAACACCACCTACTCTAATAATCGGGTTAGAATTTCCACCCTAACTTGTCATCTGTATGTTTGATGTCTACGTTATATTCATTTATGAAAGCGTGGGGCGTATGATGTTCGCACAGCGCTAGCGCCCCTACATGGTGCTGAAGAGCATAGGAAACTCATCAGTGCCGTCTAGGGGCACTAACATTTATAAATGAACCCCATATAGATTTTATTCCTCCATCCCATCAGATACTCCTCACCCCCGGGGAGTGACAGTTCACTATATGAAACATTTACAGGGTTATTCACAAAAGGGTGAAGAGTTTGGCGAAGACAGGAGAAGTGAACAATCTAGGCAGAAATAGCTGATCTGAAAAAATTCTCCAATTCAGCTCACTTTCCAGTTCAGCTATGTTGGTCTAGATCAGGGGTGCCCATTAGGTAGATCGGGATCTACTAGTAGCTCTCAAAGCTGATGCTGGAGATCACGAAGGGTGTGAATGGCGGCCCCTCCATTTTGGTATGTTTATTTAGCTCCCTGACACCTTTCTGGTGGATACTGGTGGTTGAAGTGCTATGTATTACATCGAAGAATATTAATTTACACAGGCTGTTGCAAAATACAGCAAGTTCAGCCAGGAGAGAGAGAGCAGGGAGAGACAGACAGGAGAGAGAGGACAGATAGTGAGGAGAAAAAAATAGGAATGACAGCCAGGAGAGAGAGAGAGAGAGAGGGAGGAGAGACAGCCAGGAGGATGAGCAAGGAGAGACAGCCAGGAGGATGAGCAAGGAGAGACAGCCAGGAGGATGAGCAAGGAGAGACAGCCAGGAAAGAGAGCAAGGAGAGACATCCAGGAAAGAGAGCAAGGAGAGACAGCCAGGAAAGAGAGCAAGGAGAGACAGACAGGAAAGAGAGCCAGGAGAGAGAGAGCGAGGAGAGACAGCCAGGAGAGAGAGAGCGAGGAGAGACAGCCAGGAGAGAGAGAGCGAGGAGAGACAGCCAGGAGAGAGAGAGCGAGGAGAGACAGCCAGGAGAGAGAGAGCGAGGAGAGACAGCCAGGAGAGAGAGAGCGAGGAGAGACAGCCAGGAGAGAGAGAGCGAGGAGAGACAGCCAGGAGAGAGAGAGCGAGGAGAGACAGCCAGGAGAGAGAGAGCGAGGAGAGACAGCCAGGAGAGAGAGAGCGAGGAGAGACAGCCAGGAGAGAGAGAGCGAGGAGAGACAGCCAGGAGAGAGAGAGCGAGGAGAGACAGCCAGGAGAGAGAGAGCGAGGAGAGACAGCCAGGAGAGAGAGAGCGAGGAGAGACAGCCAGGAGAGAGAGAGCGAGGGAGTTTTTTTTTCGTTGGTAGATCTCCTGTAGCTCGTCATTTGAAAAGTAGATCATAACACAAAAATTGCGGGCACCCCTGTCCGAGATTGTTCCCTTCTCCTGCCTCTCCTTCACCCTTTTGTGAATAACCGTGATAATGTTGTTTGGTGATTCTTTTGTCCAGGTTTTGATACTTTATAACTTTTGATTATGTAACTTTTTTTGGCGTTAGTCAGATAAACCGTTATATCATTTTGGCATCATTGCTGCAGTTTATTAACCAATGTTTCTACTTTATATTACTCTTAAAGTTTTTTTGTTTTTTTTTAATGTAATAAAAATACAAATTCATTTTCTGTGGATACTTTTCTTCTTGCGTGTTTTTTTTGCATTTCTCATTCATTCTACAAAAGGTACATTTTAGTGTGCACCGTTTTAGGCTCGGTGCACACCTAGGCGACTGCCGCGCACTCAGGAGTCCCACATGTGTGCAACGATCGCAGTGTGGGTGCCATTATTTTCCAATGGCACCCCAGTCGCGCCGGGCGGATTGCGCGTTTTCCCTCCACAATTCCGCCCGTGCTTCTGAACACAATTATGGCTAAAACAGCCACACATCGTGTATCGCAGAAAATTGGACCCCAGTCGCCTGTCGTGACTGGGGTGCCATTGGAAAATAATGGCACCCACAGCGCGATCGGGCGTCTCATGACAGCATGGCAATCCGCGTGGAATCGTGCACGATTGCAGCGTGGTGGGGTGTCACCTAGGTGTGCACCGGCCCTACAGGTTTGCTACAAGAGACCCCGGCACATTTAGGCTATAGTGATTCTTTTAAGGCTCTGTTGACAGCTTTGTTCTGCAGGAATGTGGTTGTTACCACAACATGCGAAAACACGTGTTTTGCACATTGGTACACTGCAGCACTATTCATTCTTAATGGCACCCTAATGCACCTTGCCCATACACATGGTAACACCCTACCATGGGTAGTGGTGTGCTGCTTTGCAAGTACTGTATATGCGCCTTTATTGGGTGCAGTAGGCAGCCCTTTCATATGAATGGGCAGCCCTAAGACAACGCATGCCAACATATGTGCGTTACCGCAGATCCCAGCTTCAACGTTTATGGATGTCTAATCCCATACCTTTTATTTGGTACAGTAAAAATCAAGCTTACATTCTGTATGGAAAGAATACAGACTATAATCATTATTGTTTAATATATGTAAATATCAGATTTTGTGTGACTCTTGCAGGTTTTTGTTGATTGGACACTTCATGGAAGTTGCTGTTATATAACATGACGGATCAACAGAACAACAACAGCATCTCAGCAAATCCTTTTGCTGCATTGTTTGGGTCTCTTGCAGAAGCTCGCCAGTTTGCTGCTGGACAGAAGCAGCAATTTGGAGAGCAGTCAGGTAAATATTTTATCAGAAGTAAAGTCATATGGCTACAGGCAATGCTAAATTCTATAATGTAACCATACTCGGACCTCCAAAGATAAAAGCACTTTAAGACAAAATGTACTTATATTTTTTACCCCTTTGTCATGATCTAACCAAACCCACTCTACCCCCTCCACAGATTCATTCTTACTTTGATCCAGGGGCAGCGGCCTACGTAAATATTTACATCCAATGCAGCATGTTTCACTCTCTGGGCATTACATCCACATATACTTCTATAGGGCTGTGTGCCATGGCTGGTGATAAAGGGGGATGGCAGGAGACAGCCCCATAGAAGTCTATGGGGCTGCAACGTGCAGGCGAGGCCAGGAGTGCTCTTCAGTATTTTGTTTATTCAGAAGTTGAGAAATTTCTGCTTTTACCACAGGTCAGAATTTGAATACATAAATAAAGTGATCACAGTGCTTCATCACCTTTCCCTTATTAGAAGGAAATGGTCATCTAGACCAGTGCTTCTTAAAGTGTGGGTCGCGACCCCATATGGGGTCCCACAAGTGAACAGGGGGGTCGCGATCTGAGTCCCCGGCCAGGACCGCCATCAAGGGGGTTGTGTGAGGGGCCCAGGCGGCCGGGGAAGCAAGATTTTTTTTTTCTTTTCGTTTAATGTGCAGTGTAGTGTAGTTTTTAAGGTCGCATACCCCCCACCTCTGTGCACTTGGTACCTTCCTGAGCACGTGCATGCAAGAAGGTGTTCTTTACCGCGATTCCGAGGGCTACTTGGCTGTAT